GTTTCCTATTTTCGTGATTTCATGGAAAGATCTCAAAGAGATCTAGTCCAGTCTTTGCTCAACTTCTATCTATGGTCTTTTCCCGGCCATCCATGGCTTTCCGGCTAGATCGATAACTTTTCGAAGTCTTTCTCATTTTTTCTGGGTTCTCCGAAACCCTAACTTTAAAGGCTTTCCGATTTTATTTTAGATCTGTCTTAGATCTGTGTATGTTATAAACCTCTTAAGTGTTTTCCGGGTTTCCGATTTTTTCAAAGTGACTCTTCGTCTTCAACGATTAGGGTTTTCTTAACCTCTTTTAAAAGATCTCTTCTCCGATTTTTCAGTGTTGTTTTATGATTTTACTATGTTTAAACGATTTGTTTATGTTTTTATTCTACCTGGTTCATCGTGTTAAAACCCTAAGTATCTTTGGTTTTATCCGGGGTTCTGAAACTGTCTTTTTGTACGTATGCCTGTTTCGATTGAGTTCTTCATGGTTAAACCCTTTCCTTTGTTTGTCTTGATTGAGTCTGAGTTCTTAACGTTTTTGTTAAAACCCTAATTTCCTAAAACTTTTCTCACTTGTTACTGTGAGTTTTTAAAGACTTCCTTTACTTATTTCCGTGTGTTGGTCTGATCTCTTTTACCTGTTGCTATATGTTAGACTGGTTTCTTCATTTTGGTTCTATGTGTGAGCCATGACTGCTTGACCTTGTTTATTACCATGCTTTGAGTAGTCCTTAGCCTATTCATGTCACTTCTGTACGTTTATGTTCATCTAGTTTGCTCCTTTTTGTCAATATGTTTGACCCTGCATGTCTGATACGCCTGTTCATTCTTTTCTATTTATATGTTGAATTGCAGAATCATGATTCCTTCTTGATTGATCTTGATTTCCTCAAGTTACGATTGATTGCAAAGGTTTTCTTATAAACCCCTAATTTTACTCGTTTGATTAAGTTGATTGATTCCCATTCCTTTATTTGTTGTGATGTTTCAGCCCCGCTGAATCCTTTCCCCAAATTAAATATATTATGTACTTAGACTCAATTGTATACTCTATATTCTTACTAACCCTTATATGGTCAAAAATCAATCTTCCTCAAATTGACTTTCTTTCCTTAATTATCCCTGTTAGTATCCGTTAAGTAGTAATTCCTTGATTAAAGGGAAGTACTTATATTAATAGGATTCTGATTGTGATTATTTCCATATTTGTGTTAAAGCTTTACTTGTTACCTTGTTTTCTACTCGTTTTCAAAGCTATAAATACCTTATCCTCTCTTCTCTAAACACACGAACAACTGAGTTCAAAACACACACTTACACATTCAAACTCTCTTTCTTTCTCTACTACTTGTGCTACCGCCTTGTCTAGTCGGCTGAAAGCCAAGGCTAGACTGTGGAATTCTGATTGCTTTACTTTTCTTTTCCTGCACTTTGCTTCTTCAACTGGTATGTCCCTAGTTTAAATTCTGAAACTCAAACCTATGTGTTCCCTTGTTGTCAATCACTGTCTCTTTCTGCACTGACTTACTTGTTCCTGCTTATGTCCCTTAACTAGCATGTCTTCTAATGTACTTGATTCATGACTAATTATGTGTTTCTGTTTTGGGTCCTCTATGTCCCCAACCCCTACTCCCCTGTTTGTAACTGCTGAAGCATGTACTCCTCCCTGAACTTGTTCTGTGGTTTTGCTGCTCCTATCCCTTGCTCCCTTTCAAAACTCTTCTGCTGTTCTACAAACTTATTTCAAACATGCTGTTTTTAAAACTATTTCAAGCACTCTCACATGCACTCTTAGATCATTAGGTTCTGCCCCTCTTGTGTGAGCCTTGCTTTGGGACCCTTGAGCTCCCTCTGAACCTGGACACATAAGGGCTGGCCCTTCCACACTGCACCTACTCTTGGTTATGCAATCTGGGTGCGAGCACTGCCCGGGATCCCTTGAGGTCCTTAGGGAACTCTGACACACCTAGGTATGAGGGAAAGCTATGGAACAATATTAGCATTTGAGGTGGTTTATTACATAACTCAGAGAGGAAGTCAGAATCAGGCTTCCTATAGTTGTAACTTCTTATTTTTCAGTTCTTATGTAATTCTATCGCATGGTCTGTAATAATTTGTAAACAAGTATTGGGGTCGCTAGTGAAAAGGGATGGAAAATATGCATGCTATAGTTGTTAAAGGGTAGAAAGCATGTTATTAGGTTTATATTCCTAATTGTGCAATAGAAACCATGTTTAGGATTCATTATGCATTAGAAATCATGCTCTTAGGACCTTTGTTTCTTGCTTCAGCACTTCATTCATTAGTCCATGCTTTATGTCTATCACTTAGAAATCCTGCTCCTAGGGCAATAACAACATTGGTATAAAAAGCTGTTATTTCAAAAATCCTGCAACTATTATGTACACTTAGAAATCATGCCTTAGGGACTCTGCCATTTGCATGTGCATATTAGATATCATGTCCTACGATTCTATTTGCATTTCGTTTAAAACGCCTAGTTGATTACTGATTCATGAAAAGGTAGTAAAGTAATAATTTTCACATTGTGATGCTTCTGAATAAAATTGGTAACCATCTCTGCAACTAGAACAGCATGTTTTAGGTAAATAAAAATAATCTCCAAATTGTCTTAATGACTTGGAACAACTGCCGCGTCTCGCTTTGCGCCTAGGCAAGCCTTAGGTAATAACTTTAATAAAACTGGAACTGCTTTTGTTTAATTATCAACTGTTAAAATCAGTAGGCAAAACCTGATTCGGACTTCTTTTCTGAGTCATGTGATAAATCTGGTTCTGATGTTATCGCTCAAACACCTTGCTTTAAGATTTTAAATTCAGACCTTAACTGCGTATAAGTCATGCTGTCTATGTGCATTATCTGCGGAGGTATACATGAGCCTTCTACTTGCTTATATGTTTCCCCCTCTAAATGCAGTCTTATATGTTTTGTATGTCGCTTTAGTATTTTTGCCTTTGAACCTGAGGGTCTGCCTAGAACCTCCATCTTATAGGAATAGGAGTCCTAAATTCCTCCGGGACTGATAGGAAGGGACGGGTAACAGCATGCAATAAGAATCGAGACCAACCATCGCTTTAATTACCTTCACGGGGCGGAAAAGAGTAGATATGGATATGATGACTGGTGCGCTAATACCACGTGTATCCCCTCTTTTGAGGAGTGTCATACCGGGTATTGCATTGATGTGATCCATATTACAAACAAACCTAGGACCCTTTTACATTCACAAGCATGCTTAGATTATAACTCTTTTCAAAACCTTGCTTTTATTAATCGTTTTTTCAAACGCTTGTGTATTTTAACCTAAATCCCTTGCTATGTGAGCCTTACTTATCTACTTGCTAATTGCGCAAATTCATAAAAAACTGTCTGGTAGGGAACCACACTAGTGGATGCTGAGGGGTGCCTAACACCTTCCCCTTAGGATAATTTCAAGCCCTTACCATATCTGTGGTTATCAAACGTAGTTGTAGATAAACCATGTAAGGTGCTCTGACGCACCTTAAAAATCGTTAGGTGGCGACTCTTCAAAAAATGCAATACCCAATTCCCAAAAGGAAATGAGTCATTACACCTCCTTGAATGTCGAAACCCGGACTCCTCTTCGCGGAGGGAAAAAGGGGGCGCAATAGCAGTTTAGTAAAAAGATCATCACTCATGATTACCTTAGACAGATATTCAATTTTAGTTGCTTAGTTAATAGTTAACATAAGTCTTTATGCGTTCGACATCTGACTTTCAAATCAATTTAATACTTGACGACCATGTATACTTGCATCATGTACTTGTGAAACCAACAACAGGACGCCTTAATATGGCTTAGTTATGAATTCCGTCTTAATATGTCTAGATTTCAATCTCCTTTTTGATATAAGAAAATTTACAACTTCTATTTTTTTTGTTCACGAATATTTACTCATTTATTTAAAAATAATAAAATTAATATGATCTGATATAATCATAAGTTTTGGACAAATTGACATATGAGTGAAAAATATCAAGTAAATGAGAACACGAATTATAGAGTTTTAACAATATGGTTAGCTCAAAATTTAGCAACGTAAAATGACAGCAGAAAACTTTTAGGGGTCGTTTGATTGGGAACAAATTATTCCAGATCTTTAATGTGATTATAATACATGGATTAAATAGTGATAAAATTATTTAGTGGATATATTTTTATTGGTAAATGTCTGATTCATTTGACTAAAAATGGAATATATGGGTGTAATATAAAAATTAAAACATGTGTTTGGTGTATACGAGATAAGTTGAAATAAAACTTTTATTTTCAATGTTAACATTAAATTTTTAAGGACTTTGGGGAAGAGTCTTGGAGAAGGGCATCTTTGTTATTGTAGTGTTTAATCCCAAAATTATTATCCCACACTCAATGTGGAAAAGAATAATATCAAAGTTAAGGTGTAAATTAATTTCAAAATTGCTAATTGCAAATTTAAAAATTCAACCAAACAACGGGTAAAATAATTTCACATTTAATCCCAAAATTATTGTCCCTTATCCCACCAATCTTGATCAGGGAACAAGTTATACTGAAATTATGATGACAAGATTATAATACATGAATTAAATAGTGACAAAATTTAGTGAATATATTTTTATTGATAAATATTTAGTTCATTGAACTAAAAACATAATATACAAGGGTATAATATAAAACATATGTTTAGTATATACTAAATAAGTTGGGAGAAGAGCATCTTTTGTTATTGTAGTGTTTTATCCCAAGATTAGTAATCACGATATTATTATCTCATCCTCAATGAGAGAGAGAGTAATACCACAATTTTAGTATAACTTAATCTCGGGAATTACTAATTCTGAATTTAAAAATTCAACCAAATGCAAGATAAAATAATCCTTATCCACCAACCAAACTACCCCTCAGAGTACTACAATTTGACAAGGGGCGGGGAATCAAGTGGCCTGTGGTTACAGCTAGTAAGAGGGTAAATACTTCATTTTAGTGACTCTTTAAAAGCAAGCTTGATCTTTTTCATGAAAAGAAATAAGATAAGCAATCCTAATAAAAAGGAAAAGAAGATAGGAAAATCTCAAATAGGTATTATTCACAAACAAACAAAAAACAAAGATTATTTCTTCTGCTTGCATTAATGGTTTCAGATCCCATCCACTATTTCATTCTTTCTGGGGAAAGAGAAGAGAAGGAAAACACAAAATCCACTATATGCTGAACTATCTTTTTCCTTCTGCCTTTAGTGACCTCTTTGAAACTCTAAGATCAGCAAGGAGAGTTTTAGGAAGGTCAAGCAAAACATCTCGAGAACAAACGTTAGATGCTGCTGAAGATCGCTTTAATATATCAAATAAGGGGGCATCAGCTGATGTTCCTGCAGCAGCATTTTTACCTTGGCTGCTTGATTTGGCTTGGAAGTTACCAAACTTTGTTGTACTATTCTTGATTGGAAGGTTTTCTTTCACGATCTGAAAGGAAAAACATTGAGCATGATCATTGAATGTTTCTACAATCCAACATCAGTTCTATATTAAATGGAATAAGAACCAACATTTAAGTGATTCACACAAAAACAAGTGAATAACAAGCCATGATTTCTTATAATATTAGGTTATAAATTTTTTAAAACACATTATCATTAATGGTAACCTTTTCTCCTATCCTGTTTCTTAACTTCTAGGAATTTCTCTCATTTCTCATCTACTAGGAGAAAAGCCAAATGTCCTCTTAACTGGCAAACTTATACCTCTGGAAAATATGATCTACCAAGATTCTCACTGTATATAAGCATGGAAAACCATAACATATGCTAAAGTGGAAATAGATGATGAAAGAGGTTTTGGAGCAGCAGGCTCATCTTTGCCAATACATCAAGGCTGTTATTAAGGGCTCTTAAAAGCAGCTTTGGAACTAATAAGAGCACTTAGTAAAGTTATCAAGAAAAAAGAACTCGTCTAAAAGTGTCATAGTGATACTTATTTTTCTAGATCGAGTTGGTCAGGTTAAGTAGGAAGAAATTTAAGTTTTACCAGTCATTAAGGTCATTTTAGGAGAGAACATGTAAAAATAAATACAAAAAATTCAAGCATCCAACATGAAACCAAACAATGCAACTTAGTCAACATCCCAAAACTACAATGTAGTTGCCAAGTGGATGATGCAAAACATCAGATACACAAATTTGAAGCTTTCATGAAGAAGTTACCATATCTGAAGAATCCTCTGACATTGACATTGAGCTTCGGCTATTGCTGTCATCCCGTCCAAAGATGAAAGAACGAACTATGGTTGAACTTTGTTTATGGGACGATGGAAGATGATTTGTAACTCGTCCAAGAAAAGAGGACTACAGAGAAACAATCAGCAGATATTTACAGAGTATTAGTCATACAATGTCTAATAAAGGAAATAGATGAAGAAGCAATGGGGAAAAAGGAAAAGGTACAAAAAAGTTAGACCATAGAATTTGAATATAGCTGACGGAACCAAAAACAGAGCCCCCAAGGCCTTAGTGTACCCAATGGTACATTTGATAGGGCATGCAAACAAATGAAAATGTATTCCCTAGACACAGCTCTAACATGCTAATATCTGGTAAGTATAGAACAACACTGAGGAGTGAGGTCCATGGTTAATCACTTCTTCAATCCCAAATCAGTAAATTGGGGTGGGGGGTGGGGGGGGGGGGGGGGTAAGTATCTCAAAATAAAATAGAGTGGACTAAATTAAACATGATCCTAAAAGTTCTAGATAAATGTTTCTCGATAGCACTGTATACATGGATAAATTACACCCAACCTCAGTTTCATGTTCCAAGTCATAAAGTAATTTAAGACAAAATTTACCTTCAGAGAGCTTTTCTTCTTTTGGTCCCCTAGCACTGTATCAAAGAATGCTGCAAAGTAGCAACAGCAATGAAAAGTAAAAAATCTGACAAGCATAATAAACAAGTACTTCATTTTACAAACAAAGCATAATAAACAAGTATTTAAATGTTGAAAAAACACATACAGGATGCTTTTGCTTTTCTCTTATTGTCAGGCACAGTATTAAGCTTCTTTATAAGTCCAAATAACTCACTGGAACTTTCATCCTCAATGGGTGATACTACTGTTGTCAGCTCCTGTTCATATTTAAAGCTGAGTAAGTTTTCAAAAAGATGAAAGAAACTTCAACATGAAAAGAAAATGATTGTTAAATCATAGAATATAACGTGAAGGCTAATGTGCTGTGTCAGTGTTGTCAAACCTAACAACATGGCAAACTCACAGAGTTATATAGCATGCGCTGCTTTACAAGCCTCTTTTCAGTTTCCTCGTCTTCATCAGATAAGTAAACCTCATCTTTATCCACAAACATCTGCATTATTATTTGCTTTGCCTTTTTTGAATTTAGTCGAGCAGAACTTTTAGGTATTGCATCCGTGTCAGTGACATTATTGACCTCTTCATCACACTCATCGCTTTCTAGTTCATCATCGACCAACATTGTCTCTTTTTGTTCTACACCACATTTTAACCGTTGCAGCAAATTCTCAGTTCCAGCTGCATCCTGCTGCTCAAGCCACTTTTGATGGAGTTCATTCCGCTTTTCTTTATCAACTGGATTTTCTTTGTAATCAGTGGCAATCATATCATGGAGTTCAGCAGAATCATCAATATCGTCGTCTTCTTCATCACCGAACCGTAATAGGTCATTATCACTGTCATCTTCTTCCTCCGCTTCATCATCAACAAATGCTTTAACTGGGTCTCCCTTTGGAGAACTGCAGCCATCGCCACCTTCTTTTGTATATGGATTTATATTCTCCTTGTCATTGTCCTCCTCATCTGAGGAACTTTTAAAAGAAAAAAATATATTTATTTTCTGGAGTTTATTGTAACAAGGATGATGACTTAGTTTTAGCATCACAAATCAATGACAATAATCAAATAGACTTTTCTGTTTGTGGACATGTGATCCTTCGCCAAAGAACAAATCGGAGCTTATCAAGCCCAGATTGCAGTAAAACATGTCTAGATTTGCAAGCATAGATACTTTCCAGAACTACTTACCTTTCATCTGGAGGGGCAGAATCGAACTTCAAGTTCAAAGCAAGGAGAGATGGTGCCATTACTTCTTCCAAAGGACTAGAGGCCGGGTCATCAAGCATCTCATCCTTACTGCCTGTTTGTTCAGAGTCATCAAATAGATCCTAAAATTTTGAAAAAGCTCCAGCATTAGATTTTCTTGCAAACCTGGTGTTACTTATAATAGCTCCCTTTACCAAGTGAAAAGATGAGAAACTACCTGAGTGTCATCAACTGGAGCTCTAAATACAGCATTGGGCCTTTCGTCCAAAGCCTGCAGTGAGATAATAGCAGCAGCACTTAGCATGGCGATGACTGTCATCAGGATGCAATAGATAATTTATTCAGTTTCATATGCCAATCTCTAATGTTCCTAGGTTCTATCACTGTTGCAAATACCATCAATATATACAAGTAGATTGTGGACTTCGGGTAGCATGTTGACAATCTGTTACCTGGATGTGGTGGAAGAGTACAAACTCCTTGTCAATTCATACCACAAATTTGGCATTAGAGTTTAAAATGCATGGATCTCATGCATACATGCTAAAACTAGATTTGGTACAAAACAAATCTGGGTTAAACTTGGTCCTTCTCTCTGAATGATGTTTAGAAAAGTGTTGCTGCCACTAACATATCCAGCACCGTATTTCAGCCAAAGAAGGATCAAGAAAGAGACCAGTTCAATGTTATGTTTTCACAAAAGTTACAAAGAGCTCACAAAATTCAAAAAAAAAAATGAAGCATGCTTATACAAATGGTTGAAAAGTAAAGGTCTACCAGTCTCAACTCACAGATTAAAGTTCAGATTAAATCCTTTTACAGAAATTACCTTCAACTCATATGTGAAAAGGAACAGACACTCAGACCAGACACAAAACTGAATTCAATTGTCCAGCACTAGTTAGTATCAAATAAATGAATCTTATAGATGACAATCTACTAACTGGACTACAGAATACATGCTATAAAAATTAATGCAATTCCACTCACCATTTGATCAGGAGCAATTTCGCTGCTTCTAGTAATTGGAGATACCAAAATTCCATCAATATTAGAGGTATCTGTAGTCCTATCAGTTTCTATGTCATTTACATCCACCTTCTCTCCCAACTCTATGTCCAGTTTGTCAACTCTCTGCTCTTCAGAATATGCATTCTTTGCACCTAATTCCATCATAACCTCACTTGAAGCACTAATCTTGTGAATGGAACTGTTGCTGCTTAGCATCCCGGTCCTGCTAGTGAAATAACAACAGAAATGTATAGATAAAAGGGTGAGCAATCACAACCCGTATAGATCCAGGTAGTAAGACACATATTGCTTAAAATTCAGCTGCTGCTTACTTTTTCAAGACCTCAAGCTTCCTTTTCCGAATCTTCTCCAAAACAGAGGATATAGGCTTATTTACAACAGGTACAGGCTTAAATGCTGCATCCTTACTTTCTGATGATGTTAGAAAAAGAACATGTGAGTGTCCATTAAGTCTGGAAGCTTTAGTACAAGTACACATTTTCCATAAGAAAGAACTACTCTTCTATCTCAGTTTTGTATGACTCTTCCTTTTAGGTAATTTCAAATGTTTGACACGATTCTATTCTAAAGAAACTTTAGCAAATTTCAAGAATCCAAATTCATTAAACTTCCAAATTTTAAACTTTGATACTGTATAATTTTTCCCTATTGAACGAACATTTCAATCATAGTATAATATTTTCTTCAACTATCACTAATATAAAATATAAGTCAAATTAAAACTTAGTATCAAATCAAATAATGTCACATCAACTGACACAGAGGAAGTACTAAAAACATTAAGTACAAAACTACAAACCTCGCAATAGTCGCTGAGTATCAGCATGAAGCTGCTGAAGAAATATTTTTCTCTCCTGTATGCAAAACAAGTAAATACAATATGGTCAATCTACATATGCACATACAAGCAACAACAGAATTAAAAAGTATATACTGATAATAAACCACAATAACTAAGTCTCAAAGTAGGCTAGTTGGGATCAGCTACTAAATCAACAAACCTTTGCTTCTCTTCTTTTGTTCGAAGCCAATTCTTTCGGCTTCACTTCACTACCAATGTCACCTTTAGTTCTCTTCTTCTTATTCTTTTTCGTTTTGTCATCTTCCTTCAGATCCCCATCTCCTTCAACATCTTGTTGTGTTCCCAATTTCTCCATATCCAAATCCTCCATCTCCTTTGCCACGTCACCAGATTCCAAATCTTCCCCAACTTCCCTACTCGTTTCATGTTCTTTCCCACGAGACTGATCATCATCCTCACCAAAATCCAGAAATCTTTTAACCTCTTTGCTCTGCTCGCTAGAAACGAGAACATCCTCACCGCCCTTTTCATCCTCGCTGTTGTGTGGTGACACGAGTTCAGTTGAATCAGCAGAATCTTCCTGGGTGCTGGAAGCTTCTAAGGCTTCCAATTGTTCCCTACTCTCTCCACCCTTTTCGTCAAAGCCATACTCAGATCTTGTCGCATCCTCGCTGCCCTGTGATGATGATACAAGTTCAGTTGAATCAGCAGAATCTTCTTCTAGGGTTTTGGAAGCTTCTAGAGCTTCCAATTTGGCAAAATCAACCTTAGGAAAGTCAGACACTTCGTCTATTGGCATAGCTGGGGGAGCATGTCGATTTTTGGAAGCTTCTAGAGCTTTCTTCAAACGCTTGAATCTAGGACGTCGGATCTCCGGCGAAGCCTCCTCCGGCAACGGGAAGGACTGATAATCGTCGTCACTTTCCATGAATTATTTTGAATCAATATGGGATTGAGAAATAGGAGAATAGGGGAGAGTGGCTGTGTGGAGGAATAATAGAGAAGTGGATCTGAGGGGAGCGATAAGATTGAAATGGAGATTAGGTTAGAGCGCCAAATGATTTGAATTTTGAGGAAAGATAACCCGCCAAATTATTTGGTACTCTGAATTTATGGTTCGGCCCGTTTTTGTTTTGTTAAACGGAAAAAGGGCACTAGATGTGCCCCTTTATTGTCGCAAATTAGTTTATACCTGTTAAGAAATGAGAGCAAAATAGAACAATATAATAATAGAGACAAGATATATAAGAGGAGAATGTACAAGTTATTTTATTCAAGTGTGTTTCTTGTGTGTTCTTCTATGGCAAAGAATGTCATATTTATACTATACAAGATACACCCAAAACTCACTAGATACATCATAGGAATTAATAGGTGCATCTATCCAAGTTGTACATTGTATAGAATGTATGGATGGATTAAATGAACATCCATATACATTCACTTTATTTATAACGCTCCCCCTTGGATGTTCATTTGAAAGATAATGTGCCTCGTTAAAACCTTACTAAAAAAAACCAGTGGGAAAAAGCCCGGTGAAGGAAAAAGAGTACACACATCTTGTAATACGCATTGAGTGTTGCCTCATTAAAACCCTTACCAAGAAAACCCACTTGGGACAAAACCTTGGTTAAGGGAAAAAGAGTACAGCGCATATTATACTCCCCCTGATGAAAGCTTTATTTGATATTTCAGAGACGAAGCATTCCAATCTTATGTCTCAGCTTCTCAAATGTTGATGTTGGCAATGCCTTAGTGAATAAATCTGCTAGATTGTCACTTGAACGGATTTGTTAAATATTTATCTCACCATTTTGGTGAAGATCGTGTGTGAAAAAGAACTTTGCTGAAATGTGCTTTGTTCTGTCTCCTTTGATATATCCTCCTTTAAGTTGAGTTATGCAAGCAGCATTGTCTTCATACAATATCGTTGGGATCTTTATTTTTAAAGAAATACCACACAATTGTTGAATATGTTGAGTCACTGATCTCAACCACACACATTCTCGACTAGCTTCTTGAATAGCTATTATCTCTGCATGATTGGAAGATGTAACAGCTAAAGTTTGTTTTGTTGAACGCCATGAAACAGCTGCAGTGCCACAAGTAAATAGATAGCCTGCTCGAGATCGGGTTTTATGTGGGTCAAACAAATAACTTGCATTTGCATAACCAATCAACTGTGAATCGGATTCATAAAAATAAAATAATCACATATCAATAGTCTCTCGGAGGTATCTAAAAATATGCTTGACATCATTCTAGTGTCTGTTGTTGGAAAGGAACTAAATCTTGCTAATAAACTTACTGCAAAGTTATATCTGGTCGAGTATTATTTGCAAGATACATTCGTGCCCCAATTGCACTAAGATATGGAGTTTCATCACCAAGAAGCTCTCCATCATTTTCATGAGGTCATAATGGATCTTTATTTATATCAAGTGATCTCACAACCATCGGGGTACTCAATGGATGTGCTTTATCCATATAAAAATATTTTAGGATCTTTTCAGTATAAGTTGATTGATGGACAAAAATTCCATCTTTCATATGCTCGATTTGTAGACCAAGACAAAATTTTGTCTTTCCGAGATCTTTCATTTCAAACTCTTTCTTCAAACAATCTACTACTTTTGGAAGTTCCCCAGGAGTTCCAATGATATTTAGACCATCAACATACACATCGATTATAACAAATTCAGATCCAGACCTTCTTATAAATATAAAAGGACAAATTGGATCATTCTTATACCCTTCTTTCAGCAAGTACTCACTCAGGCGATTATACCACATTCGCCTTGATTGTTTCAATCCATATAAAAAAATTTTAAGCTTTATTGAACAAGTTTCCCGAAAACTTTTATTAGTTTCAGGAACTTTGAGCCCTTCGGGGATTTTCATATTAATTTCGTTGTCTAATGTGCCATACAAATAGACTGTGACAACATCCATTAGACGCATATCAAGTTTTTCATGGACTGCCAAATTTATAAGATACCTAAAAGTGATTGCATCCACCATGGGAGAATATGTCTCCATATAATCAATGTCAGGTCTTTGAGAAAATCCTTGTGCCACAAGTCGTACTTTACATCTAACGACTTCATTTTTATCATTTCGTTTTCGCACAAAAACCCATTTGTATCCCACTGGCTTTATTCCTTCAGGTGTTCGGACTATACGTCCAAATACTTCACGTTTTTCAAGTGACGCTAATTCTGCCTGGATAGCATCTTTCTATTTTTGCCAATCATTTCTTTGTCTACTTCATCGACAAATCTTGGTTCAAGATCCTTATCTTGTTGCATTATTTCAACAGCAACATTATAAGCAAAAATGTTGTCGACAATAATATTATTTCGGTTCCACCTTTTTGCCGTAGAGACATAACTTATTGAGATCTCTTCATTCTTATTATTTTCAGGTACCTGGACCTCCTCTGAGGTCTTATCATTTGTTATGTCATAGGGATCTTTTTGAGCAATTACCTTCATATTATGATCTCCTAGATTATTTGCTCCTTTTCGCTTTCGAGGATTTTTATCTTTGGAACCAATTGGTCTACCACGTTTCAAGCGTGGCTTAGACTCATTTGCATTCATAGATTGTCCAACTGGAACATCAATTTGAATAGGAGCATTAGCAGCTGGAATATGTGACTTAGTCACCCTTGGTAGGTTAGTGAATGCATCAGGTAGTTGATTTGCAGTATTTGCAAATAGATTATCTTTCGAACCTCGTGTTCACATTGATTTGTTCGAGGATCTAAATGAGATAGTGATAATGCATTCCAATCTATCTCTTTTACCAAGTGCTTATTTTCTCCCCCTAATGTTGGGTATACTGATTCATCAAATGGTAATCAGCAAATCTTGCCGTAAATAAATCTCAGTCATAGGTTCCAAATATTTTATAATAGAAGGAGATTCATACCCAACATATACCCCCAATCTTCTTTGGGCACCCATATGTGTGTGTTATGGTGGAGCAATTAGAATATATATCACACATCCAAATATCCTAAGATGGGAAACATTTGGCTCCTAGCCAAAAGCTAATTATAATGAGGAGACTTTATGATAACTTGTGGGCCTGATCCGCACAAGAGCTGTTGCATGCAAAATAGCATGACCCACGCCAAAATGGGAAGTTTTGTTCTCATAAGCATTGGTCTAGCAAATAATTTGAGGCGTTTGATCAATGACTCCGCTAGACCATTTTGAGTATGAACATGATCAACTGGATGCTCAACTGTTATCCCAGTTGATATACAATAATCATTAAAGGCCTGGAACGTAAATTCATCAGCATTATCAAGATGAAGTGTCTTAATTGCATAATCTGGAAACTGTGCTCTTAATCTTATTAATTGAGCTAGTAACCTCGCAAAGGTCAAATTGCGGGTTGATAACAAGCACACATGTGACCATCTTGTAAATATATCGATCAAAACCATATAATATCTGAATGGTTCACATGGAGGGTGTACGGGCCCACATATATCACCCTGTATACGTTCCAAAAATACAGGAGATTCAACTCCAACTTTAATTATTGATGGTCTAATAATCAATTTGCCTTGAGAACATGCAGCACAAGAGAATTCTTTAGTTTGAAGAATCTTCTGGTTCTTCAATGAATGGCCATGTGAATTCTTAATTATTTTGCGCATCATATAATAACTGAGATGGCCCAACCGGCCATGCCAAATAATAAAATCATTAGTAAACTCTTTGTTTACTATGGCATGTGATTCGACTACACTAATACTAGTGTAGTATAATCCGGAGGAAAATGCGGGAAGTTTTTCAAGAACATACTTCTTTTCCGCTTTTATTGTAGTAATATAAAGATATTCAATCTTTCCTTCATTGGTGGTCTCAATATGATAGCCATTTTGGCGAATATCTTTGAAACTCAACAAGTTTCTCTGAGACATACTACAATATAATGCATCATTAACAACCAATACAGTTCCTCCTAGTAGTAATACAGTCGCTCTTTCAGAGCCCTCAATTAATTTTGTACTACCATATATTGTTATGATATTGGCTTCTTTCATAATTAAATAAGAGAAATATCTCATATCTCTTAATATGGTGTGCGTCATAGCACTATCCAGAAAACATATTTCTTCTTTATTATTCATACGGCCAACTGAAGACTGGGAAGTTTTCATATTCTTCACAAAGAAAAAGAAAAAAAATATATCATAAGTAATATTGAAAAATTTAAGAACAAAAGAAACTATACTTAGGAAAGTAAATACTAACAACATAAAACGTTTTATTCAAAAATATGAACTTCATAAAAAAAATATTCTCATAATTTTCCCCAGTAATAAGTCTTCAGCTATAATGCTCAAAGAAGTCTTCAACTTCTAAATGAGTAATATCTGCAAGGCCTTCAAAAATATCATCTTTATAGGCAAGGTATGCTTCAACTTTATCATGATTATTCATAAGGCCCGCCTCAACATCATTTTGAAAATGTCAAGTGAGTCTTAACTTTATTTTATTTTCCTTTTATAGAGGCTTGATAAAGTTTGACAAAATATTCAGGCGTACGTCATATTCGTGCCCAATGATTTTTCATACCATATCGGTGGACATTATTACCTTTGCCTTTTGAAGGATTGTTTTGAGAACCCTTATTGTTCTCTTGTTTATAACGAACACTAGCATGGTGATTATTATTTGCCCACATATATTTATATGGCCATGATAATTATTTTGCCTTCTTTCAGACTTTTGATTTATCGCTATCACATTCGCTTCTAGGAATGGAGCTGATCCGGTACTGGGGCGAACTTCATGATTTTTATTAAAGTGTGTCATTTTTACACTGCCATTATTATATCATCAATATGGGCCATTGGGACCTGAACCCAATGTATTACCTATATGAGAAGTGTTAGGCCATAATATGATGGGACTTGAACCCAACATCTTATCATCATGGTGCACCGAGACTTGAACCTGGTGTCTTACCCTCATGGTGCAGTGGGACTTGAACCCACTGTCTTATGTTCATATAATATTTATCACAAATTATCTCATTCTCTTTAGAGAATGGAACATAATTTTAGATCGCCACAAATT